AAGTGGGGTCTATAGAGGTTGAAAGAGCTTAAGAAATTTAAAAGATCATCGTCATTTCCATTATTGCTATTTCATCTACCTGAATGTTGGGGATAGTTATTCTGTATCAGAAAAGAGAGATGGGAGAGGTAGTGCTTTGAGACAAAAAGAATAAGTGAACTCATCTTATACATCAGTGATCTCTATCTTTACACATTGCAAAAAATCATCAGGGAGAACAAACACCTCAGAAAATTCTCTGGTATTGTTACATTATTCATCTGACGTGTTTTCTCCAATTTGACTGATTCTTTTGACTGGATTGATAGCAATCATCTATTATTTTGGTATCACACAGATGTGACCTTAAATGAATTTCATGATTTTAGAGTTTTTATTCCCCACCCAACAAAGTAAATGTGATGCTATCACCACAGCTGAGACACATTGACTCAATGGGGAAGAGGTGGAAGGATCAGGGAATGGGGGTGTGTGTGTGTGTGTGTGTGTGTGTGTGTGTGTGTTTTCACATCCCCTTGCAAGCTGGTTGACTTCTGGGTATATTTTCCCTCATGGTGTTGGGGGAAAGGATGTCCTGAACGAACTCCACACACACAGGTTTTACAGACTCTACCCCCATCCCACACCAAAGATATCTAAGACACCAAGGACTACAAATCCCATAATGCCTTCACCATCAACGGGAGGATTGCTGGGAACTGAGGTTGGAGTTAAGCAGCCAGGCTTGATATATAACCAGACGTGTGGGCCTTGGGGGTGCTTGGGTTTTTGCCAGCTTTCAGCATGCTATTGGGGTCCCAGCTCAGCAGAACTGGTAGGTCTCATTCACCAATTTATCTCTCGCTCTCTCTCCCTGGGTTATTCCTTTCTCCTTTGTTAACCATAAACCCTTTATTAACCTTTTGTGTGTGCCTGAAGTTGAGTCTCATTATAAGTCCCTTTTTAAGTATGTGGATGTGAGGACCCATTCAGGACACTCAGGCCAACACATTTCACTTTGGGGTTGCCCTGTAACAATGGCGAAGGGTTTTTCCTTTAGTTACTTGTGAGAATTTATCAACTGCTAGTAAAAACAGACAGTATCATACTCTTTTTTTTATTTTCTAAATTATTTTTTAATTAATTAATTTTGTACATCATTCTTCATTTTGTACAATGTTAGACTGAAGATCATATTCTTTAGTCTCCACTCAAAATTATCCTTTTTGGAAATTTCTCTGCGATTGATATTTAACTTACAGATAGTTTTGTTGCTTTGAACTTTTCTTTTTCCTTTAAATAAGGACTGTCCCCAAACATAACTTAGCATTAACCTTAACAACATAACAGCTGTAACCAAACCACATCCATTATTAGGACTTTACTTTTAAATTGTGAGCAAATTGCAATTTACCTTTCATTTTATATAACGATTGCTATAGCACAAATGTCAAGGCCAAAATTAGATTTTAGATATTTGTTTGGTTTATGGGGCGGTCTCTGAGGTTGTGCTCACCAATAGAAGCCAGGATAATTTCATCAGGAAAAAAATCAGCTGACACTTCTTCTGGGTTCACATAAGTAACAGTTAATGAACTATATTTTGCTGTTACACTTTAAGATAGGCTGATGAAACCTAAAACAAATGGAGATTCAAATGTGCATAAACCAACTTTTGGTCAAGTAAGGGAAAATATAATATTTTCATAAATCTGACTGTGCTTTTTCTTCTTACCTAAAGCAATCCATTTTTTGGCTAGTTCACTGTTTTTAAAAACTTCATTTGAGTGATATCAGGCATCCAATGTATGTGAAAGAGTTAGGTAATGAGTCAGTTGTAATTAATTTACAACTAAAGAAGGCTGTATGTTTAGGAAGGAGCTGTTATCTTGGCTTATTCTGTATTAAATCATAGATAATGCATCAGTTACAAAAATCAAAATTAGATTTTATACAAGAGCTGTCTTTGTTACTCTCCTGTATCTAAACTTCCCTTTTAATTCTTCACTGTCTTTTCTTCCTTCTTCTATTCTCCAGTGATAAATATATATTTATATTATTGCACTTCTTCATCTGAGATATCTTCTATGGGGTCAAGAAATTTTACTTTGCAAATAACAACTCTATTTCATATTGAGAATATTAAGCTTTGATTCTGCTCTATCACCAGCTGCTTAATAAACTTTCAACAATTGGTATCTTTGAAAAAGTCCTAATGAATATCCTCTACAACTCACTACTTTTGTTATGGTGCCAACATTTCCCCCCCCAAAAATGTTACATAGTCTGATTTCTAAAATAAATAGACAAAAATGTATAATGAAATTGAAGTCAGTATATTTTTTAAAGATTTATTTATTTATGCATACAAGAGCTGGGGCACAGGCCAGAGATATAGGGGTGGGGGTGAGAGGATTCACCAGAGACAGAGTGGGGAGCAGAACAGGCAGACTGACTGAAATACACTGCTGAGGGGAGCAGTGGGCGAGACAGGAGAGGTCTGCTGCGCCATGTGGGTTGCTCTCTGGCTGGCCGGGGATCAAACTTGTGCTGCAGAAACTGCGGATTGCTTCATAGTATGGTGCTTAACCCGTTGCGCCACCAGGAAGCCCCCTGAAGTCAGTTTTCTCTTTATATTATAGTACAGGGTGGGAGAACAAATTCCAGGATGGTCCTTCTCCAGGTGGTCATTTTGGAACCCTGGGGGTTGTTTTCAATATAGCCAGGCAGAAGGGGAAAAGAGAATGAAGAACTGTATGCTGGAGGGTTTGTGGGCTGGAATCATAGTGGTTGCATGATCTCTGCCCCTTCCATGGGCTAGAGCTCAGTATCGCCGCCACCCCCATGGCCAGGGAACCTGGGAAATGTAGTCTAGCTGTTTGACCAGGAAAAGAAAAGGAAGTGAATTTTGATGTGTAGCTATTAGTCTCTCACAGTCCCCCTAAAATAAAACTGTAGATTTCAAGTCTGTTTTATATCTTTTATCAGTTCAATGACCGACTCTGGCTATTTTCTCATTGTTCATGTCTCTTATTGCATCACTCCTGATACTGCTGCCAGGTCCAGGCTCTCACCTCCTCACATCTAGATCATGACGGTAGTTTTTAAATCTAAAACTCACACTAGAGTCTCCTACCTTTCAATCCATCCGACAAGCCCACATTACACTCATTTCCATATGCATGTGCCTTTCACTGCTTTATGTGGTAATTCAAATACTTCTAGTCCTCTTATCTAAAAGACCAAATCTATTCTCATCTCTTTTGTCTAGCTTTTAAGAACTGGTATAACTTGGGAACTGATCTTTCCACATCAACCAATCTCTATCACCTACTTTTGTAAGTTCCTGCACTATATTTTTGTAACACTCTATTAGATATAATATGAATTGTTCTGTCCTGTGTTAATATTATTTCATGCATTTGAAAGCTGCCTTCCTTTCAATGGTGCCAGCTCCCTGAGAAAAATAGGTGCCTGCTATTCTTCTGTTCTGTCCCTCATATAGTTTAGCATGTTTCTCAGTCCATGCAAGGTTGGTTTCCAATAAATACATGCTGATGAATAGGCTAGCTCTGAGAAGGAATTAGTCATTATACTGATTTTATGAAATTTTACTCTCTATAAGTAGCAGTTTTATTGGCAAATCTTTTTCAGAAACTGCCATTTATTTATGGAAATCTATGCTTAATTATAATTAGTGCTCAAATCTCTCAATATAGCCAGATATAAACTAAAGACATTTAAAAGCTTAGGGAAGCTAGTTTCAATTAGTTCTTTTTTTCATTAATTCACATTAATTCAACCTACAATTTAAATTCTGATCCCTGTCCTGAGAAAGCTTTTAGCTTGGAAGGGAAATGAGAATAAATACTTCATGGTAGGCAGAATTCTAAGGTAAGCCCCAAGATTCGTACCCTCTGGTGCATGTGTTCTGTATAATCCCACCTTGAGGTGTGAGTGGAACCTGTAAATATCACAGAATTTCATGCCCATCGGAATGCTACATTATATGACCGAAGGAATTGGATATAATTAAAAGTCCCTAATTAGTTGACTTTGAGTTAATCAAATGACTGACTATCTTTGGTGGTTCTGACATAGTCAGAACACAGTCTTTTAAAAAGACAGGAAGCAGTTTTTCTGTGAGTCTGGAAAAAAGCAAACACCTTATTGTGAATGGAAGGGCCACATATACAGATCTGAGGGCAAGCTCTACCAACTGAGAGATCCAACTTGACAACTGCCAAGAAAGTAAGGACTTCAGTCCTACCCTGTATGTTAACTGAATTCTACTGACAACCAGATTTTGGAACAGGATCCTGAGGTCCTGATGAGAAGGTAGCCCTGCTGACACCTTAATGTCAGTTTTATGAAACACTGAGCAGAGAACCCAATGATCCACACCAGGTCTTACTAATGGAAGCTGTAAGATTACAGATGTGTGTTTTAAGCAACCAAACCTGTGGTAATGTGTTACACAGTAAAGGAAAACAAATACACGCATATTATATAATATACTACTTACTATGAAATTCACTTTCCTCGATGAGTCTAATCATTTTGAGATTCTATATATTTTAATTTTAAGATTTGGCTTCATTACAAAATCTCACATCCAACCAATATATTTTTGGATTTGAAAATACCAGTGCCATTTAATTCCTTTTTCCTGATCTGAGTCAGTTAACATCTCATTTTTATCAAGGAAGCAAGGCTGACAATGCCCTCCCTAGATTCCAAAGACTTCTACAAAAGATGGTTCCATCCAGCTATCAGTGTTTTATTAGGAGGCCATTCTTTCTTCACTCCTCCCTACTCTAGCGTGTATATTGTGCTGACTTAACATTATCTTCTGGGTAGTCCACTGGGTTAAATATTCCAAGAATCTTTGGAGGAGAGCCAAGTAGTCTTTTTGCTCTTTAAGAGGAAAGAGGTTTAAAGGAAGTTGCTGCTTAGCAAATCCATTACTCTATTGCAGAACAGGCATGTTTCCAAAGTACATTAACAATGCTGATGAGAAAACTAGCCCTGGAGTGAAAAAAGAGAAAGTGAAGAAGTCATTTCATCCTAGGAAGCTGCCTCACAAGGTAAAAAACTATGAGTGTGAGTTTGAAATTTGTGGCTTTCCTGTTGGTCTTGTAGAACTCTCCAATGCTCAGTTTCCTTATCAATAAAATGGGTGGGTGAACTTGTGGTCTCTGTGTCCCCTTCCAACTTCCATATCAATGATTCTATCCAATGATGAAATGGAGGACAAAAGTGAGAGAATTCTGTGGAAAAGGTAGAATGTTTGATATCTGTATAAAGCTAATTGTGATTGATTATGGGCACTGAAGACTGGTTTTGAAGGTAGACACTAACTGGCAAGTCTTTGGCTTCCTATTTTTGAAGTTCTTCCATCTGAAATCATCATTCCTCTGGCTGATTCCATTCCCACATTTATTATTTTCTTAAATATTTTCTATATTCTCTCCAAGATGAACTGTTCACCTTTTTTTTTTTTCAAGATTTATTTTATTTATTTATGCATACAAGAACTGGGGGACAGGCCAGAGGTGTGTGTAGGGGGGCGGTGAAAGGATTCACCAGAAACAGAGTGGGGAGCAGAGTGGGGAGCAGAACAGGCAGACTGACTGAAATACGCTGCTGAGGGGAGCAGCAGTCAAGACAGGAGAGGTCTGCTGCACCATGTGGGTAGCTCCCTGGCTAGGGATCGAACCCATGCCACATTAGCTGGTGATAGCTTGATAGTGCTGAGACTTTAACCCCTGTACCACCAGGGAAGCCCTGAACTGTTCACCTTTTAAAAATAAATTCTATACTTTTTCACCTGTATTTGCCTTCTGAGGTATTCAAAACTGAATTGTTCTACTTCCTATTTTTACCTAATGAATCCTGGTCATCCTTTAAGATTTAACTCAAAAGATACCTTCTCCCTAATTATCCCCTTGTGGTTCTTCTCCTCATCACAATATGACTGAGCTTTTCCTCTTTGGAAACCATTTGCTGTCTATGTTTCATTGAGAGAAATCTTCATCTACCTTCTATGTTATGTGCTTCATATTGCAAACATTGAGATGTGTAGGAAATTGAAATGAGTGGTTCCCGAATCCAGGCTCTACCTGTAGGATAACACATACAGCTTGCTTGTGTGAGACCACCTTGCCTTCTTATGATTCATTTTCCTGTTATGAAAGTGCTGTAAGAGTAAAGACAGTTTCCTGATAGCATAAGTAAGTCCTCAGGAGGCCTGCCTGAAGGATAGCCATATTACAAGGTTGTGGAGAACAGAATTATAAAACTAGCTATCCTCCTCCATAGGGGTCTTCATAAGCCTGTTGACCAAAATCATACAACCAATTAGAGATTCAAACGCTTCTCCTTGACTCATTTTTTGGTAGGCTCCACCCACTACCCCCTCCTGTCCAATGCATTACACTGCTTCAGGGCCCATCCCTGAAAATTGCTCAGGGCTGCTGTGATCCCTGAGGCAAAACTATCTTCTGAATGAAGGAAACACTGATTTGTTTCTTCACAAGTCTTACTCCCAGATGGTGCCTGCAGACTTACAGAATCTCAGTAACATCTTATTCCTTCTCAGGTCATGGCTGATTTGCAGTGTTTTCCCATTTATAATTTCCAAGTTGAATATTGTTAAAACTTTTCTGTTATCCCTTTTTTCAACTTGGAACTGGAATTTGTAAAAAAAAAATAGTTGTAAAAACATAGTTGCCAGAAGTTAAGTAGAAATTATAAAGACTTAAAAATAGCATGTGCAAAAAGAAAATTCTGAGGAAAGAAGAAAATAGGGGGAGTTAGAAGTAAGGTAGGCATATTACTCAGTATTACATAGGCCAAAAGCTGTTCTAGGTACTTATCCATGATGCCCTCTTTCATTGTCATGACAACCCAGAAAAATTAAATAATGTGCCCAAGTTCATCATGAATGCACATGGTAAAATAAATTACGGACATAGGCTTTGGATTAAAGACTGTTTGTGTTCAGAACCCATGCTCTTTGTAGCTCCCTTGTGGGGGGGTAAGCTTGATAGTACAAAGATTGAATATGGTACAGAGGGAGGATGTGGATGGTACAGCTGTTCCTGAGGTTAAGACAGTATTCCTGAATTGGAAGGCAAATGGAAGCAGCTTCTAGACTTCTAGCCCCAGGGCTAAAAATCCAGAGGAAGACATCCATCGAGGCTTTAAGGAACGTAACTAACTTAGGATGACATGCTTCTCTGTTTTCATTTTCTTCAGTTTTCAAGAGTATCTAAGCAGGTATTTTGGTCCAGAATTGCCCCAAGTGTTCTCCTTTTTTCCTTTGCTATAAATTTGACAGTTTCAATGTTGAAAACTTAGGAGGCATGTCCACCCTTAGAGGAGCCTGAAGGTCATTGGTTTCAGACAAAGAGGTAACAGGAAGATATTTCAGTATTTCTCAGCTACTTAACTTTTAACTTGTTTCCTTTGACTTGCTTGGGTCAGGAGAGTAAAAGGAAAGGGAAAAAAAGGGAGTTTTGTTTGTTTATTTCCTTAAAAGCTCTGTTATGTTATGGAGGAAGTATGGATAAAACACATGCATGGACCTTGCTTTGGAGTTTTATTGTAAACACTATCTAAAATGAGACAATTATAATAAGATAAATTTAAGGTCATGAAATGAAAATGACAAAGTGTCTAATCACAGGACAAAAAGAAGACATGAAGGATTATCAGGGAGAGGCGAGAGCACAGTGCTCTGCATGAGAGGCAAAGGGGGGCAGTTGGAAGAGCACTGGGAGGGGTTAGAAGGTTTAACCCCCTGGTGCAGAGCACAGGAACTCAGACACCAGCCCAGCGCTGTGTGGGGGATGGCCTCAAGACCCAGTGAGTTGTATCTGAGAACTGACTTCGATGCTTGAAACGGAAGTGAATGCTGAATACGTGGTGTTCAGAGACAAAACGAAAGCCAGAGGAAGGAGGGCTATCTACCCAGTTGTGAGGGTGTATGGGGGGAATCATCAGGGTGATGGCCGATGGGGACGTTCCTTCTTAGAGGCCCACGTGTAGCATTTAAAGTGGATTGTGCTGTCAAGCTCATTGGCTTTGAATCCTGGCTTCACGGTTCATCTTTAAGTGACCTTGTGTCAGTTACTTGAACTTCCTGTCTTAGAATTTCCTCCCCTTCAAAATGTCAGTGATGATCATGACACCCACCTGAGGAGCTGATTGCGATAAATTGAGTTTAAATGGGTAGAGGGCTATGCGTGGTCCCTGACACATGGTGAGTGATCAAAAATGCTAACAATTGTTATTACTAGTTAAGTTTCCCTCTCTAAATATAGCTTGGTCTGGATTTTGAGAATAATTTTCTAGTCTGGTTCTTATCAACCTTTTTGTCACTAGACATTGCCGTGCCCTAGTGCCCTAGGTCACTCTAGATATAATAAGAGAAAATAGAGTGAAAGGAAACAAGAGTGACTAAAACACCTTCTCAAAGCCCCCGTTTTAAAGAATGGTATATGAAGGTAGTCTGAAGAAAGGGCATGCACATTGACCATCTTGTTCGATGATATTTGTTCGTTCTGGAATTGCATGTCTGTTTTGGTGCCATTTTCCAGTTTTCCTCGATTTTCATCATAAAGAATAAGAATTCTGTCCTCTCTAACACACTCAGATGCTCTCTCTCTCTCTCTCTTCATGAAAGCAAAACTCCTAGGTTACATCCCACGAAACTCCAGCAGTGCGAGCAAGCTTTTGTTCCCAGGGTTGGCAACATTTCTCCTTCGTTTGTCCCCAAGCCTGGCTGCAGGTCTAGGAGCTGCTCTGTTGTGGGAGATTGCAAGAGCTGGTGGATGCAAGCCACAGGGCTTCTTTTATGAGCCAAGTGCAGAGAAAGGAGCTTTTCATTGCTCCAGCCTTGCAGTCAGGTACTCCCTGGTGGGCTTTGACAAAGCAGATGCCCTTGGAGAGCTCTTCCCAGGGAGTTTGCCTTTGTTTTCATATGGAGCATGCGCCTACCAGAAGGGCAACCCGAGTCAGAGCTCCCTCCGTACCTCTGCAGGTTGGTCTAGTTCTCAGCCCATAGAAGTCACTGGTTTGACACAGTCCTCCCTAAAGCCAGGCTGAGTTGTTTATTAGTGAGCATGAAAAATGCTTCAATCATAACACCAGATGGTACCCAGACCAATTTGGGTTGTCAGCTGAGGCCTACTCATTTCCAAGGACTTGGTCTAACATCAGTGTTATTTCCCTGAGTACCCATCTAGCCCTAAGAGATGATCTTGCTCAGATGATTTTGATCAGAAATAATATTTTCCTCAATACAGAACCACAGCCACCACTGCTTTACATCTTTATTAATTCATTCAACAAACTTTTATTGAGTGCCTGCTGTGTGCAATAGACATTTTAGGGTATACCAAAGACAAATCCATTTCTGATCAACAAATATTTGTTAACAATGTGCCATGTATGTGCCACGCACTTAGCAGGTAATGGGCATAAAGCATCATGAAGATGAGGTGTTTGCCTTTAAAAGACTCACCTTGGTAAAGAGATGAATAGTCCAGTTGTACAGTAAATATGGAGGTAACACAGGTGACACAATACTTTGATTCATCCACTTCTATTTTTGCTGCTTGAACCATTACAAATTTCATGTGGGCCTCCCTGGTGGTGCAAAGGGTTAATTTGCAGTGCTATGAAACTATCTGCACAGCACAGCAGGAGTTCAATCCCCAGCCCACCAGGGAGCTAACCCATATGGCACAGCAGACCTCTCCTGTCTCACCAGCTGCTCCCCTCAGCAGTGTATTTCAGTCAGTCTGCCTGTTGTGCTCCCCACTCTGTCTCTGGTGAATCCTTCACCTACCACACCTCTGGCCTGTACCCCAGTTGTATGCATAAATAAATAAATCTTTAAAAAATTTTAATATGATACTTTATTCTTTCAATCTCCTTTTAAAAGACAAGTTGGCACTTCGATTGGTTCCATTACTTGGCAATTTTGTGAACATAAGAGTACATAAATCTTTTTGTATCAGAGTTTTCATAAAATTGAACCATCTATGGGGGCTGCTATTACAGAAGTAGATCATTGGAG